ATGCTGTATACGTTTGTATGAATATATCGGGTTAAAATAAAAAGTTTTAAAATTACCCCAACGTTTTACAGCATTTTTCTTTTCCAAAAGAAACATAATAATGTCACTGAGACCCATGTTTTTGCCGGTGGAATAAATCGTATATTTTGCTTAGAAAATGTTCAACATTTAAAAGCAATATAAATCAAGTAAAATAAAATTAAAACGTTTTTTACCTTTTGCAAAAATTATGCACTTTAACAAATGAATGATACAGTAAAGCAGCGTTAATGTATAAAGGGTGTCCCCGTAATTTCAGCAATCAATAAATATTTTCATAATCTTTTATCAAAAATGTCGTCCATAAAGTATGCATATCAGGGTTGGGTGAGGCACATAATATTTAAACTAGAAATAAATAAAAGTGCTATCAAAATCTGTTGTGTTTCTAATAACGAAGGTCGGATAAAAAACTTAATTAGTTCGATTGCCAGATGAAACTTGAAGACGTTCTTAATCTTTCAACTCCATTGGGTTATCTCAGGCAATCAAATAGGTTTTGATACTTTCACTTTTGAATTTTTTAAGCAGTAATTTGATAGATTTTGATAGTATTCGTTTTTTTTCGCTCTCAAAGATTATGTTGCAATCCATAATGAATTTTCATTTCTAATTTCCTTTTTAACAAAAATTCTAAAATTATATATTAAGATCAAGAACAATCTGAATTTCTTTATATTTTGTGCACATATCAAAAACTGTATGAACAAAATATTAAAACATTTCAAAATGTTAGTTAATATTTATATATAATAATATTAATCAATAAAGTATACAATAAAATATAATAATGCTTATAACAATAATATATAATAATGAATATAGTAATAATATAACAAAACGTATAACTTAATATACAGACATAAACATGCATTAAGATGAATGAAAGGATGTAGGAAGTTATAATTATCTGAGATAATGTACACATTAAAGAAACACATTTGTTTCAATTAGAGAAAAAATATCATTTAATATTCATTCTGAAACACTGTAATACAGAAACAGAAATTCAGGACACGCGTCTTTTTCGACAATCACTCATTCCTAAAATAGAAAAATCTATATATTTTACTTACTTTTTCTGTCCAAAAAAACTCCTTTTTATTGGTATTCTACTCAAGTATTTTTTTAACATATATTTCTTAATGGTATCCGAACTTATCTTTCTGTAGTAAACGTAAAGTAATCTTTAACTAAAGTGGTTGCAATATGTTTTATAAATGTACAATTGAAAAATGATAGATTAGGTTCTTGTTTTATTATAAATTTAGTTTCAGTTGAGTAGATTTGTTTTATAGGTATTTTTAAGTATTTCCTCTGGTAGGGTATACTAGTACCTGGTAATATAATACGTGGTCCTGTTGGAATATTATGGCTCAATATTAAAAGGAGATATAGGGCCATGTTGTAACACAGAATATTAGGCGGCTTCAGATAAAAAGACATTTTATTAAGTGATATTGAGTATAGAAAACAGTATTCGTTGGCTAGAAACTATGATGGTTTCCCCATAGCAGGAATTGATTGGATTTGGCCTAGATTTATCTAGCGATGAAAATATGAAAAAAGACACGCATTTTTGACTGTCCCGAGATTTTAAAGGGAGGTTCTGAGAGGTAATGCTTGCAAGGATCTTCTTATCTTAATGAAACGTCATTCAATTGATAAAATTTAGAGATTTTGATTCGCTAAAAGGATATCGCCACTCTGACGGTGGGAAATTTTTGGGACTATCTTAATGCGTACTTCATCTACGAATTATTGTCCATTAACTTCAGAAAATAATCTTCTATCTGGCCTTATCAGGTTCATCTTGACTTTTTATGGCCCTTTGTGAGAGACCGACTTCTACATCTTAAACTTGATAAGAAACATATGTTTTAAGCTTATCAGTTAATATAGAAAGACTCTCATGAGAAATTCTATATTACATATATATATTACCTATAGGGCCACATTGTGGGCCCCCTATTAGGCCTATAACTTATTGAGTAGATAATTAATAATTACTGAGTATAATTGAGTCGATTTGTTCAACTGAAATAACTTTAAAATATTATATAACAGTAAATTGGTAAAATTTTAAATTTCAATTATCAAATCCTGACGTCATGTTCAATTTTCAAGGCCTGTCGTTAATTTGTTGCTGCACCTATTTTAACTACTTCCAATAGCTTTAATATGAAGGGCTTCATATGAAAATATGAATCTCTTTTTGAAAATATGAAGCCCTTTGAAAATATGAAGGGCTTTTATATGAATTGCTGCATGATGAAACGCCACATTTTCAAGTTGTTCAGGAGTAAGGTTGTATCAAAATGTGGAAAACCTTGTGGGGTTGACTGGCAAAAAAAAATGATATATTTAAAAAGGTTAATACTTTTTTTTATTAAAACTCTATAGTGCCTCTAATAATTTGGTCTAATTATTATAATATAATACCTGATATAATAAATATTCTATAATATATCGTCTAATTTATCCAACTGTCTAATTTATATAATATATCGTCTAATTTCACCAATTTATACACGAACGTAAACAAGTACAAACCAGTTTCAGTTGAGTAAAAACAATAAAGCTGTACAAAATCATCTGATAATTTAGATTTCACATAGAATCTTACATAGTGCGCCTAATAATTTGACCAGGGACTGTAGTTTATTTGCAATGCAATGAAAGCCATTGCTTTCTAGCTTTCATGTGAATTTCCGCATTTTATGCCATATCAAAATTGTCCTATCGGGAATTTTATGTCATATCAAAAATATGTATCTTAAATTGTGCACTAATGAAGCTTACTATAACCAATTTTTATAATATAATTAAATTTCAATGGTACCTACGGAATTATTGTTGATAGTTGACGAAATATTTTAACTCTAAATATTTAAAAAACGAATTTTCGTCCAAGGAAAAGGGTGTAATAATGAGTTATGAATGTTACTTTTTCATACAATGCTTTATAAATGCAAAATAATTTTATTCGCTCATTTTTTTAACTTTGTTTATTTTAAATTTAAAACATATTTTAGATTTTTTTTAGATTTTCATATTTAGAAGGCCTTTTAAAGAAATTGTGATCTCAGCGAAACTTCTGGTTTCATTCCTTAAAAGAAATCAGATAGAAAACAAAATACTGATTTCACGGATTATTTCGAATTACACTTAACATTAAAAAGGCAAAAATTACAATCAACTTTTTAAAGAATAGCAACTGTAAAATATTTTGTTAGAGAAATGTTGTTTATAGGAAAAAGTAGTCGAAATCAAATAAAAATGTATTAACTTTATTTTAATTGCATTAATCTGTATTATAAGAGAATGGAAATCAAGCAAATATTTAGTTCTAATTATACAATAAAAAAATTACCCATGGAAAGTAATTAAAAAACAAGTTTACTTGAAAATTTACTTTTGTTTAGGCAGCAGGGATACTTGTCGTCCTTTTTTCACTTATTCTCGCTTTTTTTTTTTTTAAGAAATAATTCTTTATAAGAACAAAGAGAATTTATTATTCGAATAAATAGGGTAATAAATCAACAGTGACCAAAATTTGAGAAACAGTAATTTAACAGGAACAAAAAACAGGAATTAAATTTTTTTTTAATTCAGATAAAACAAAATTTTATCCATAACGAAATTCCCATTTACTTAAATAATAAAAATTTTGCTAATAGATATCAACTTTACTGTCGATTTAATAACTTAATAAATAAAAATGAAGCGCATTAGTATTTATCAGGGTGCGTAGCGTTTTTAAAAAGTGCTTAAAGGTGCTTATTTTTTATTTTCGTTTTTTAAAAGCCCTTGAAGGTGCTTTTTTTTAGTCGAGGTTAGTAAAAAATGCTTAATTTTCTATCTTTTAAAAAGAGATTTTGCCGTGTCGATTGTCATTCTAAATTACAAGAAAAATGCAAGATTTTCGCAATTTTTTCAGCAATATTTATCAGAAACTAGTTATTTTATCAAGATTGTGTAAAGTTTTCGAATTTTATTAATATTATGTTTATAAATTGAGAACTTTAAACGATATGAAAAAAAAAATTTATTGCGGCACAGATCTTAATTATGCTTTTTTTTTTGGAAAGTGATTAAAAATATTTTTTGAGTGCTTGAAAAGTACTTAAAAGGTGCTTCGTTTTTGTTGAAAAATCTCGCTGCGCACCCTGTTTATTATTATTTCGCATTTAAGTGTTTTTCATCCAACAGCTTTATTGAAAAATATACACCTGGCTTAGTAATTTTCTGAAAATATATCTCTAAATTCAGCTGTATCAAGCAAATTTTTGAGCATATAAGCACACAGATTGTGACCATGGTTGATATATGATTTTCAATGGGCTAGATTCCTGAAAGCGCCGATCCATTTCGCGGCTATTTTGACGGCAATATTAAAAAAATTCCAAATTAAAATTAAAATTCGGAAAGTATTTGACCTACTTTTAAAGTTTATATTTTGCAGAGATATTTTAGAATTCCAACTGAAGATTTTTTACGAAATCTGTAGATTAATAAAGATTGTTTTTCCATGCGGTCCTAAACTTAGTATCTGAGCTTGTTGTAATTAAGTACCTAGAGACATTCTAAAAAGTGTAAAGACATGATATAGTCAGCCAGTATCATGTAAAAGATTTGATTTTTTTGCACAGGTTGTTAAATAAAATGACTTTTAAGGAGAAAACGTGATCTGCGAACAACTTCCTTCTACTGCTATAGTTCTTAAAGCTTTTATGCAGCTGACATGTTTGAAACTTATTCGCCACCTTCCAGTTCCTTATTAATTCGAATTCATTGTCATTTCCTTAGGTAGTTTATTTTTGAATATTAAAGAAAGAAAACGTAATTTTTTTGCTCAGCGTTTATTTTGAATAACTCATTATTGCAAGCTCAAAAAATTAAAAATTAATAAATCGTTTCTTTTACTATAAAATGGGATCAAATTATTCTTTATTTTTCAGGTTCATGAACGCCCGGGCTTCCGGAAACAAAGCATACATTCCTACAGACCTGGAACACATCGCAAATGTTTTAACACACGCAGTAAGTAAAATAAATTGGATATTTTTTCATTTTCATAGAAATCCTTTTAAAAATATCGTAGATTAACATTCAATTCTAGTTTATAGTAGATTCATCAATAGCTCGACAGCCGAAGGTGGGCCTTGGCTTTCTCAAAAAGTTTTTTCCAGGCTAACCTAAATTAAAATTAGTTAATAAAGCAATAGATTTTAAAAAACAACTTCAATTGCTCCTCATTTTTTTATTATTAATATTATTCAAAGCAAAATACAAAAACATATTCGTAGAGTCGTAGTTTTCAATACATTGATTTGGACAGAACGCTTGCCTCCACATTAGGTGGCCAGCGTTCGAATTTCAGCGATGGCTGGTCAATACGAATTCCGCACCCGGCTCAAAATAACGCTTCCGCCCTACTCTTAATTGTTTGAAAATGTATTTTTTATTTATCGATTCCAATATTTATTCTAGATATATTTTAGGGTACTTGAATAGTGTTTATTTTTGCACCCTTGTTTGCTTAAAATTATTAAATAATTTGCTTGAAAAATTGTTTTCATACTATATGATTTAATGCATTTATAGTATAATAATAAACGGGGCTTCCAACGTATATCCTTATCCTTGATACCGCTATCAACAAATTAGTGGAACAAGCTTAAATAATAATAGTTCAATTGTTTCTCGTTTTAGCTTTCAAGTGATAATATGTTTCGTTCAAACAGATTTAAATTCTGGAAATAATGAAATTATTGAGAAGGTTACTTGGAGCAATATCATTCTTATCCTCTTATGACGAAATATAGGAAACATTTATATTTATAGTTTCTGTAAAAAGTACGTTAACCCTCTAGCTGCGTTTTTTTTTTAAAATTGTAAATAGGTGTAATTTTTTTATCAAAAATTACGTATTTTTTATTACATATTTCAAATCAAATGAGGATTCTAAAAGTAGCACGGCTTTGAAATCTTTTTCCAAATTTCAATTTTTAGTATTTGCTGTTTAACAAAGTAAGGCACTTTCCTAATAGCAAATTATACTATAATAATATCTTGTGAATTGTGCTTAAGTTGAAAAATACTTTTAAAACAAGTTAATTTTTTTTAAAAAGGGCAGCTTTCTTAAAGTAAAAAAACAAAAGCAACCAGCTGTGGTTTTTGGACTAATACAGTTGCACTCATATGTATTGACTTTCCACAAATCTAACAAATAAGAAACAATAACTTAATTAAATAATTTATTTGTTCGTTCTTAGAGAAAAAGCACTAATACGATCAACCTAACGTTTTGCGCAGAGTAGTTTTACTACAGAAAATGTTCTTAAATTCTTATCAGCTAATTGGCATCAGCTAACATTGTTCAGAGACTAAAAAAAAATCTTGACAATTATTTAAAACGAGAGTTACTTTAAAGAAAAACTTTAAGTACCAATAAAAATTAAACAAAATAGATTAGTTTATTTTCGGAAAAAATCTAAGTGGCAGTATAAAGAGAGAGAAGGGAATATAATGAAATAATTGGTTGCATAGTTCTGCGAATTCCACGTGGACAGGTAATTAAAAATTTAATGTTGAAATTAATTTTTAGGACTATATACCAGATACGGAGATATTTTACGACGCTCAAAAATTTTGGCTACATATTCGACAGCTATTAATGTTCGGCATCTTTATAATCATTGTAGTGACTTATAAAACATCAACAATATTGCAGATAATCGTCGTTGATGTCACAAGAGTTGGGTTCAGAATGATATAAAAATACCTTTTACATAACTAGAATCTTCAGTTATATTTTAATTGTTTAGATATTAAAATATATAGAGAATAATTGATAAATTTATTATTCCTAATAAATGCATACTTATGCACATTACTGAAATTGAATCAATTGTGGAATGCATCAATTAAAAACTTAAATTAAAAAAAGCAGATGCATGACTACATTCAATCAAAAATATATTTTTATGAAACTTGACATTTATTAAATGTGATATTTTATACATATCTCATTACTAAATTAAGTACAACTTAGTAGACGACATAGAAAGAAATATCGCATTTTATAATTAAAAAGAAAAGAATACGATATAAAATAAAAACAACGAAAAATCATGAATAAAATTTACGGTAGGCTAGTGTAAGTCAAATTCCTTGAAGTTTACCAAATTTAGGCATTAATCGCTCCATTTAAATATTTTTTTTAAAACAATTACGTTACCAAATTATTTTTTTAAAAATAATTACTTTTATTTTTTTTAACTTCTTCTTGATAAAAACAATTGAAACTTCAGATTATACTAAAGAAAAATTCGTAGAAAAAAAATTTAGGGCTGATAATTCTTAATTTTTTCCATCCAGTATTAAATTAAATAATTATAATTAAAAATTATTTTTTTGCATGAAATTATCTTTGGGTAAACGATTTTCATGAATAGGTGAAATTTTTTTTTTTAAATTACGCTATTATTATGAAATTAACATTGAAAATGCCAAACTCTCAATTGCTCTCCGGACTAAACTATTAGAACCACAATTTCCAGATTGCGGCTACCCTCCCCCCCCCCGCCGTATTTCGAGGATCAGAAATCTGAAAATTATTCAGAGTAAGTGCCTTTTTGAGTCTGATTTTGTAACTTAATTAATTAGTTAGCAAAAATTAATTAACGTATTTGAATTCACCACCAGAAACCATTATGATCGACATTTAGTACGTGAAAATCCGATAATTAGAACGAAATTTATTCAGGGTGATATCTTTTTTATTTTGCGCACTAGTAGTTTTAAAACAGTGTCTAACTTTAACCAATTCTGATTACAAATTTCTACCAATTTTTATGCATAAAATTGATTATTATCACATAAAATAGTACCAATTTCAGCTTTAACGGAAAAATACAGGAGGCACAACTCAGATATTTATTTTTGGCTCTGTTACTTTTTCGTACAAATCATTCATTTCAGTGACATGTATTTTTTTTTCAGTTGAATAAGATAGGCAATACTCAATAAATATCTGACTCCAATTATCTATATTTAACTGACTATTTGAAATCCTGGCAGTTTTTGCGTTCGTTTACTTTTATACGTCAAGATGTCAAAAAAAGACCACTTTTTCGAACTAGGAATACACTAAAGATAGAAATAATGTTAATTATAGACCATTTAAAAGCTTCTTTCAGCCAGAAAAAATATCCAGACTAAATACTTTTAAGGAAAGTTTAATCATGAATCAAAATATCACTCGTCTCTTGCGTTTTATTCAAACAGAAAAATCATTGGAAAAGTTCCAAATTCGCCTTTTCTTCATCATTTAAAACTTCTTCCTAAGCACGCCACTACTTCCATTTCCTTCAAAGGAAAAGCCCGGAAGCTGATTCTTTGTTCACGGCTTTACTTACATCTAAAAAATCAGAATTAATATCTTCTCAGCATGACATAAAGAACGAAATATTGATGTCATGTAATAATCGTGTAGGAGAAAATTACCTGGACTTATCCGTCCTATATTTATTCTTTTATGGCAGGTCTCGAGAACATTTTCTTCATGGAATTTAAAAATAGGAGTTTTAGTTTTTACAGCCCCCACTCCCCCAATCATATAAGAAAATATTTACTTAAGATGTTATAAGTATGCGGTACACGTTTTAGCAACTGTTGACTTTAAAGATATCCGACTAGGTAAAACTCAGCACAAATTTCAAATTTTTTTTAATGCTATTATTCATATTTTTATTTTATAATTTTCGCTGAACAGCCGATCCAATTTTGAGTTTACGACTACCAATGTTCAACTCCGTAGCCTTGTAATTGTGAACCCAATCCAGAAGACAAGAGAACTCCTGGATCAAGCAATGGGAGAAATTTGCCTTCGTGAAGGACTATTTGAAGGAACTAACCCGCATTTGCCTTACATACTGAGGAAATCTATTAACACCTCTCACGGTTAGCCAGACGGCAAGCAGATTCAAACCCCTAATCTGACCATCACTGAGGATATTTCCGTAAACGGAACTGAAATTTTATTTTGTTTAGCTTTGAGTATTTGAACCATTATTTATATACATAAATTATATTTTTAAGACAAATAAAAAAAAATTTAATTTATTTTCGAATTATTAATTTTTGTTGTCGGAATATTCTTACATTTCAGAATATTCCTGCATTTTAAATGCATTTTCTGAAGAATATTGATTTTGAGAAAATTTCTCTAAGCCAATACACATTACAAAAAAGAAGTTTATTATAGAATTCTTTGAAATTTTGAACGTAAATTTTCTATAAAGTTAACGATGTTTTGAACTGAAAGCTAAGGTGTAAGTTTGAATTTGTTATTTTTATCAAGCATTAAGTAAGAATATTTAGAATTTTTCTTTCAATTTCGATCAAAAACGATGTATTTTGTTCTATTTCATTGTTGTTGTTTTTTTAGTTCCATACACAGATAATCAGATTATTGATTTTGAAAAAAATTTATTTTGAAATTTATGCATTACAATTTGTTGTTAACTATTAGAATGACATGAAAAATTTAATAGTTTTTAAGTTCAAATTCGTCCTTATTTTTAAAAGTTTACTTTACTTTAAATTTGTAATTTTAGGATCCCGTTCTTAAACATAAAATTAAAATGTTAATTGGGCCATTTTTTAAAATAAAAATAATAATTATAATAAGCTGTGACGGACCCAGTCAGATACCTCTGAAGAATTTCTACATTACTATTATTATTTTATCCTAATGAAACACAATTTTATCATAATTTATCATAATGGAACAATTTTACCTAAGTAGAGAAAGTAAAAAGGTTGGAAATGAAAAAATATTGATTTATTATAGCTGCAATACATAATTAATTTCTAAACTACTTTTTAAGTTACGACATAGTATTTACTTCAGATTTAAGGTATAATTTTCAAAAAAGTTGTACTGTAGTAATGAAGCATTTTTCTCACATAACAAAGTTGAATTTAATCTATTAACATTTGCATTAAGCAGAAATCAATTATATAACAGGTGGGCTAAAAAGTTCGTAGACTAACATAGAAAAAAAAATTTTCTTGATAAAATTTCATTTTATTATTCAATATAGTTCCCTTCGAGGGCAATACAACGATTATAGCGGTCATATAATTTTTCGATACCATTTTTGTAGTACGATTTGTCTTTAGCCTCAAAATAGGGCTTAGTTTCGGTGACTACTTCTTCATCGGCGCTAAATTTCTTTCCAGCGAGCATTCTCTTGAGTTCTGAGAACAGGAAAAAGTCGCTGGGGACCAGATCTGGAGAATACCGTGGGTGCGGAAGCAACTCGAAGACCAATTTATATAATTTTGCCCTCGCTTTCATTGACTTGTGACATGGTGTATTGTCTTGATGAAACAGCACTCTCTTCTTCTTCAAATGGGGCCGTTTTTCTGCGATTTCGTAGTTCAAACGCTCCAATAACGCTATATAATAGTCAATGTTGATGGTTGTTCTTTTTTCAAGATAGTCAATGAATATTAAACCATGAGCATTCTAAAATACTGACGCCATAACTTTGCCTGCTGACTTTTGCATCTTTCCAAGCTTTGGAGTAGGTTCATCTCGTGCAGTTCACTCGCTGACGGTCGATTGGATTCCGTTGTGAAATTATGGAGCCATGCTTCACCCATTGTCATATATCGCCACATAAATTCAGATTTATTACGATTAAACAGCTTCAAACACAGCTCAGAATCATCGATTCGTTGTTGTTTTTGGTCAATTGTGAGCTCGTGCGGCACCCACTTTACCTAGAGCTTTTTCATACCCAAATATTCATTCACGATATGTCTAACACTTTCCTTTGATATCTTTAGAGTCTCAGATATTTTGATCAACTTCACTTTACGGTAATCTAAAATTATTTTACGGACTTTTTTGATACTTTCGTCGCTAACAGCCTCTTTGAGGCGTCCACGGTGCGCATCTTCGTCAGTGTTCATTTCGATTCGTTTAAACTTAGCAAACCACTTCTTAACGGTTGATTTTCCTGGTACAGAGTTCGAATAAAGTTTCTCAAGCCAAGCCTTGGCTTCAAGAGCATTTTTTTCGCTAGAAAGCAATGCTTTATAAACACGCGAAATTCCTTTTTATCCATTGTTTTTAAACTAACAAAAGTTGCTTTACTAGAAATACTATATCTCACAAACTGTTAGTCCGACAGCTGTCAAATTTATACACGTGCCTTTCGAAGGTTAAAACTAACTAAAAATCATATGTTTTTAATAATAGTAGCCCCATCTATGTGTCAGTCTACGAACTTTTCAGCCCAATTGTTACGAACTTATTTACCTAACGATAGGAGAAAGGTAAAAACATTAGCACATCATCGATTTCTAAACTTTTTGAGTTACATCGTACGGTAGATATTAAATGATGATTTATCTCTTTATTGATTAGTGTACATTATTTCTGTAAGAAATATTATGAAATAGTGAAAGTGATTCCTACACTGTTAGAAATTTCTCGGTAAAAATAGTCAAATAACAATTCATTTAATTGTTAGTTTACCATAATCAAACAAAACAGTCAAATAACGATAAATAAGATGGTAATTAAACTGTTAACTATGATAAAAAATAATTATTAACTATTTTGACCAAATACGGTTAAGCAACCAGAATTTTATGAACCCCTTAATGAAGCCGCTTAGTTTATTGCAACTGCGTACATCTTAAAACCGAGAGGGATAATCTGTCAATCTCATGACCGACAGAACTTGGGTTCGAGTCCCAGGGTTGACAACACAATATTTCCCCCATTCCATTCAACAAATGAAGAATTTCCAGTGTCCTGCATTCCTTAATTTGTGCCCTACACTCTACAATGCCTATTATCTAATGAAATGCCTAGCAGGAAAAAAAAAGCCAGTTAAATACCTTTTTTGCGATTTTTTTTTAAAAAAAATGCCAATTCTAAATGGTTTAGAAACCATATAGTTTTGCATTCATGGTTTTATAACTATACTAGCTCGAAACGGTTTCAAAACCGTAAAGGTAGAAAATTTTCTTTACCGTAAACTTTACGGTTAATTGGATGGACAGACTGCTGCCGGGGATTTTACCATAATTTTAGAATGAAAATTCTTACAGTGCATGCGAGCAACTGGAAAAAAATTAGTTATTAAGTCCAGTTGCAATCTTCTAACGGTGGGAGAAATATAAAAACATTAGCAATATGCAATTGATTTCCAAACTTTTAAATTATTTTACGGTAGAATTTTTGTATACTTCCAGGAAAAATTGTATAGTACATATTTTTATAATTTATAACCATCGTTGAACAGCGGACCCAATTTTTGGGTTTATGGCTGCTAATGTTCAACTGCGTATCCTTGTAATTTTGAATCCGATCCAGAAGACGAGGAAAGTCCTGGATCAAGTATTAGGAGAAACTTGCCTTCGTGGAGGAATTTTTTTTCTTTTTTTTATGGAACTAACCCGAATTTGCGCTACATGGAGAGGAAGACCACGAGAACCTTCCACGGTAAGCCTGGCATCAAGGGGACTCTAACCCATGATCCGACTAAACACTGTGGTCGGTGCAAGCCGGATGCGGAATTCGTATCGATCAGCCAGCCATCGTTGGGATTCGAACCCGGTTCAGCTCAATGGAAGACGAACGCTCCATCATCTGAGCCGTCCCGCAGTGACGTTAAGACACGGTTCCCAACAGATTACCGAAGTCAAGCATCACTGGCTGCTGTCAGTGTGCGGGTGGGTGACCACTTGGATCAGTCTTCGTAGGGACCGAGGATATGCGGTATTGGTCCTCGTTAAACTGTTCTACCGTAAAGTGCTCGACTTCGCGTGCAGATCGTCGAGCTACCGAAGCGGGGGTGCCATCCCCTCTGCAGAGGAAATAAATTGTGATGGCATGTCATCGGATCATTCTCAGAGTTGTTTTCCGTCGCCAATAGCCCAATGTGCAGCTCTAATACGACGTAAATGAACTACAACTACTACCATCACCTGAGCCCTCGCTGCTCTGGTAATGATTAATTTTTTTAATCGATTCGTGTATTTCATTTCAATAAGAAAAATTATAATATCGTGAATATGATTCCATACCGTGATCGTATCATATACAGCGGCCTTTAAAATGTATCATCATAAAAATAAATATAAAATGTTAGTAAACTTTTAAAATAATTATTTTTTATTACCCTGTACTACTAATAATACACTCAAAAAAAAAAAAAAAACAATTGGATGCTATTTTCAATATTTAACTGTTCCATAAAATTCCAGCTTTCAGTCATTCCAAGTGTGATGGGCCTTTTCCTTCTACTTAAACAATCCAATGACAGATATCAATTTATCTCTGGTTTTGTCTATGGCGGCGCTCTGGTAGCTCTATTCCTCGTCTCAACTATCTTCCATTGTGTCTTCTACATTAGAAAATTCAGGTAGATAAATAAAGCTTACATTATTTTTGAAATGAATTGCCACTCTTTGTCTTTATTACTTTTTCTCTTTTCCCCTCAGGACTTTGAAAGAAATTTTTCACCTATGTGACCGTGCCATTATTTATGTCTTCATTGCCGCATCCTACACTCCATGGTATGTATAATTTTTCATATAAGTTTTGTACAAAAAAAGGAAAATCCGTCTCACAGTATCTGGTTAAAATTTTTACCAAGCGCTGCAATTTATTCTAACTGATTATACGATGCATGCAATTATCAGCTATCTTTTTTCTTTCGTTCTTTTTTTTTATACAGAGTTAGTACGTATAAGAGTTCAAAAGCTTTTCGAAATTTGCCGAAATTTCGAATATGAAGAATTTAATATTTAATGAGACTTAACACTTGGAAAAGAAACATATTTTATGCGAATAATCTTCCTCTTAGCGTTGAAATTTATTTCACTTGAAATCTTATTTTCAAAAGATATACCTGAAACAACCTTCGGATGCATACATGAAACATTTTTATCAATTGTTTGTATTCTTGAATTTTTGTGTGCCTTATAAAAATAAATATATATACTGAAAGATGCAGAGAAAATTTTTGGACTCAAACTATAGAGAAAATAAAGCTAATGAAAAGAGAAGAAGAAAAATTATTAAAATAAAATATTTTTCTAAAAAAATATTAAAAATCAGGAAAACAAAATTGTAAAAAGATATATATATAAATGGGGCCGTTTTNATATATATATATATATATATATATATATATATATATATATATATATATATATATATATATATATATATATATATATATATATATATATATAGACACATATATATATATATATATATATATATATATATATATATATATATAGCTGCCAACACGGATAGGGAAAAATCCAGTAGATTTCACGAAATAATATGAATCTCATGATAATTATTGCAGAATGTACTAAATATTTTACTCATAGGGGAATTTCTCTAGTTATCAAAATAGAAAAACTGCAATATTTTCAAGTTATAATGGACATTAAATGAACTTGAAATGTTATGTATTATGTTTACTCATAATTTTGAATATTAATAGGCATTTAATTCAAAGACAGCTGAAATATTTTTTTTTATTGATTTGAGAAAGGAGTTCTGAATAAAAGTGAACTGAACATTTTAGAACAAAAAACAGTTTTAAACTAATTTTTATAAATGAGGCTAGCTTTATTACATATAATACTTATTTTAATATTCAAGCAAGCAATAATCTGGTCAAAAATTCTATTTCCATAGAAATTTTTCAGAAAACTTACTCAATTTTGACGATTGCTGAAAGAGATTGACAACCTGACGTTACAGTTAGAGTGCACTAAAGTCGATGCTATCAATGATTTAATTTTAGAGTTTAAAGTTAAACATCTGATACAAACGAAATTCTCATTTTCTTAAAGTTGTTGTTGTTAATTTACGTCGCACTAGAGCTGCACAATGGGCTATTGGCGCCGGTCTGGGAAACATCCCTGAGGAAGATCCGAAGACATGCCATCACAATTTTGATCATCTGCAGATGGGATGGCACCCCCGCTTCGGTAGCCCGACGACCTGCACGCGAAGTCGAGCACTTTACAGTAGAACAGTTTAACGAGGCACCCTCGGTCCACACACCCTCGGTCCCCACGCAGACTGATCCAAATGGTCACCCACTCGCACACTGACCGTAGCCAGTGATGCTTGACTTCGGTGCTCTGCTGGGAACCGTGTCGTAACGATCAGTCCACTGCGGGACTAGTTTTTTTTAAAATAAACTAATTTTAATTAATTTTAATTGTAATTAAAAGTAAACTAATTTTAATGATATAAAATTAAATGCAAACTTAAACAAAAAACACAATTGTTTATTCATTTAAAATAGTTACATCATTCATAATTGGTTTAAATTCTTTGCGCAAGAGCCACAAAAGACTATACCACGCTCAACATTTGGTCAAAATTATAAATCTGTTTTAAAAGCTTTGGAAGTATTCAATCTCTTTAAGATATTCAACAAGGTTCCTATGTGGATTGTCTCCAATTAAAGTCGATAATTCAGGATATTCAGTTAAAATATCGTCGTCTTTTAGTTTTAAAATTAGAACACTGGATTAAGATATGGGGTGAAAGAGAGGTGGAAAAGCTGGTAGTAAAACCATTTCAGTTTTCACTTATTTTCGGGTAAATCTATTCTCTTTTTTAAACTGCCCAACAATAACTACTTTATTACAAGAAAGAAGCAGTTTTACGTATCTCTGCTATAATTGTAGATAAAATCCCTGTAGTTTCAGAAATGTAATGTTTCTCAAAAAAAATGCTAGAATGAGATGCCTTTCTTATCAGTTTTTGCTCATTTCCGCCTTGGTATAGATAAGCTTTCAACCCTGGGTTAAGATGCGTTTCATAGTTAATGGTTTTCTGCAACTGGGGAAAACAGGTGATGGTTTGTTCAGTAAGATGCGTCTATATGTTAGTCTTGTATGACCTTTACGTAATTTGTTTATTAGTACTTCAATTTTTCTGGAGCAATTAAAAGGGGATAGTAGGAGTTTTATTTCACGTAGTTTATTATTTATTTCTGTGTTCCATTCTGTCTGTCAATTGTCCCTGCAGTGGACTGATCGTTAAGACACGGTTCCCAGCAGATCACCGAAGTCAAGCATCACTGGTTGCGGTCAGTGTGCGGGTGGGTGACCACTTGGATCAGTCTGCGTAGGGACCGAGGGTGTGTGATATTGGTCCTCGTTAAACTGTGCTACCGTAAAGTGCTCGATTTCGCGTGCAGGTCGTCGGGCTACCGAAGCGGGGGTGCCATCCCCTCCGCAGAGGATCAAAATTGTGATAGCATGTCTTCGGTTCATCCTCCGGGATGTTTCCCAGACCGTCGCCAATAGCCCATTGTGCAGCTCTAGTGCGACGTAAATTAACAACAACAACAACAACTGTCTGTCAATTAGAATTTAAAGCCTTTATTATTTCGGTTTGAACATCATGTCTTAAAATTGACCCGTTAGAAAGATTGTGTGAGGATTTTGCTGCATAATCGGAAAATTCATTTTCCGGGATTCCTACGAGTCCAGGGATCCTGGAGAATAAAATTTTAAAGCCATCATTATTTAGATCAATTTTAAATTGCGAATTATAATTGAATGTAGATCTATAGTTGGATTTTGCATAGCGTATAAACAACTCTTAGTATCTGAATAAATTGTCCAATTTTTATGTTTCTGAGTGGAAATATATTCCACAGCTAAAAAGAAGGCACGGCATTCAGAAGTAAAAACTGAGCTTGCAGGGTAAAGCTTCTCTGAAACAACCGCATCAGGAACAAAAGCAGATGCCACATGATCGTTCCTTTTGGAGCAATGGATAAATATGGGGTTAAAATTATCATATAAGGCACGATGGGCATAAAAAAATTTTTGATATACTACTGGTGAAGTACCTTGCTTTGATTGACTACCAAAGACATCAATGACATGAAGTGGAATAGTAAGCCAAGGTAGAAATGGAACAGATTATGAATTGAATTGAATGTAGGATTTAATGGCACAAGGTCCAGCGCCAAACACACGTTATAAAAACATATAAAAAGGTAGAATAGAGTGCAATTATAATATCCAACACTATATTTTTATAGTAAATGTTTTATGTGTATGATTTTAATTTATGAGTACAAATATATTAATCTTTACTTTAATTTAAGACTGCTGATAACTTTTAACCATAATTAATTTATCATGTTCAATATTTTAACATAAGTAGAAAATTAATTATTAATTCAATAATAGGCTCATGCTGAAAGATACAGAGCATAATTTTTGGACTCAAAATATCAGTTGGATTGTATGGACAATGGCTATACTTGGAATTGTCTATCAATACTATTTTCACGAAAGGTAAATAAAAAATTTGAATTTTTTTGTATCTCTTTGAAATTATAAATTTCTGAAAAAAATTTTTTACACTAAGTACCTTAATGCCTTGATCCAGTAGTATCTTTTTTTTTCTTCAATCAAAAGTATAATAATATTGCATAATAATGCTTCAATTTTGAGAATTCAGTAGAGAATTTTCTTTTCAGAAACCTTTATTATTCATATTATATGTATACCTGTTAACTCTTCCGGTTTTCCCGGAAGATTTTTTTTTTCATATTCAAAGTGCTAGCAAAATTGATGATATTTCACTAAACTTTTTGAATTATATTAATAATTATAAATGAGTTAGACCACCACTACATATGAATAATTACAACAAATATATACAAAGCATATTAGTCCTCACGATAGCGAATTTCAACCTGGTTAAAATATAAATATCTTTTTGAGTAAAACTGTTTTTCGGTAATTGTTTTACTACCACTTGGAAAATCCATTCTCGAAAAGAATGAATGTTGGCAGGTATGTATATGCATTTAAGATTTTCATTCATTACATTTTATTTATTTTCTTACCATTAAAATATTTTTGAGAACTTTTTCTGCTTCTTACGAAGAAATAACTAACCCTATCTCTGTACTTATTTCGCATAATTCACTGAATTTTATTATTTAAGCTTTACTTTATTACAGTAGCGTACATAGTTGCGCCATATTGTAGACTTACCATAAAAAATAAATTGCTATACTTTAGTAATTATATTCAAAGTTTAGTTAAAGAGTTATTAGTGTCAAATTATACCACATTTAATTTACCACAAATAACATTTATTATACCATATTTGTTAGTTAAATAGTTAAAGTAAACTAAAAAATATTTTATAAATAAAAAAAAAATTTTTTTTCACTCTTAATATTATTTTCCGAAGAGTGCGCCCTCCAACCTTGTGCGCTCCCCCACACCGCGGGGTGTTATTTATGCCACTGTTTTATTGATGTATGTTTACAACAATAAGAATATGCGCACAGATTATACACATTTTGAAAAAAAGTGCATTTTCTTGTACAACAACTCAAAAATGCTTAATATTTCTAGCATTAAATCACGTAAAACAAATAGTCAGAATCTACCTAATTTGTTTTTTAAAGTAAAGGAAAACCTGCTTCGATATCCTCTAGCTGCAAAATCAATTTTTAACTTTTCCTACTGCGCTAAACCAGCCTTTATTATTATTATTTTATAGTTTAAAAAAACTGGAAATATTTATTTTTTAATTAATGTCACAAAACATTGAAGCTGCTAAAATTAATACTGCAGGCAAGAGTCGTATCACTAGAATACAATTCAAGAGGAAAAATTGCAATAAATAAGGTGTTTACCCACTTTGTTATTGCAATTTTTCCTCTTTTCTGGTAATATGCTACTAAAAAACAGTTTTGTCTCTCAGATACACACTATAGCTTACTAAAGCGGTAAAGGAAAGTTACCTAACTGTACAGATCTTAATTTATAGCCTGAATAAACTTCTATATCAAAGAACATCAATTTCTTCAAAATCTAAAAGCTGTTTGATAAATAATAATTTTTCAGTATGCTTGTTTATATGAAATCATTAAATAAAGTTTTCCATAAAAAGTTACTTTAGTCATTAAGTTACTTTAGTTGTACAAAGTGTGCCGTCTTCCCAAATTTTGAGATAAAAAATAAAATTTTTCATTTGTTATAATTCATAAGTTAGATAGTGTTTCTTTTTATATGTTCAAATCTACAAAAAACTTGTAGTAAATATCAATTTTTCCCCTTAGGTACAAAACACTGGAAACACTATTTTATCTAGTCATTGGGATAACACCAGCATATGCAATGTTTTACATGGTAAGAAAAAACAATTCTTTAATACATCATTATTATTAAAACTCATGTTAAATTTTTGTCAATACATCATCACCCAATATTTTGAATATAAAAGGAAGAAGGTAATTTTAAAAAAACTGGTGATGATGACTATAAGTGATGATTTTATTACTCATGAATATATTAATTTATTATGCCAATTTGGATTTCAAAATTACATAGACAAACCAACTAGAGTAAATTCCTCATCAACTTGCATTGATCATGTCTTCGTAAAAACAAATAAATTTTCAATCAAATCCGGAATATTCATAAATGACATAAGCGATCACTATCCAACCTTTTGCAGTGTTCATTACGATGAGGTAAATAAAATTAAGGAAGCTGAAAATAAAATTTCAATCAACTATAATAAGCTCAATAATTATCTGTCAAATTACAAATTTAATTACAATCCTCAAGATTCTCTTGATCAACAATATCGAAGTTTTGTTTTCAAACTCAATAATTTAAAAAATAATTTTAAATATAAGCATAAATCAAACAAAAAAGCCAAAAATAACTGGATGACTAATAATATCTTGATTTTAATTCGAAGAAAGGAAAAACTATTCAAAAAAACTAGAAAATATCCATGGGATATTATTTACAAAACAGCATACAACACTATAGTTTCTGAGCTTAAGAACTTAATTAAAACAGCAAAATCAGAATATTTCAAAATCAAATTTTTAAATTGTGATTCAAATAAACAAAAATGGGATCTTGTAAATGGTATTATTGGTAATCAGAGCAAATCACTTACTTTACCTGATATTTTAAACGACTATGAATCTTCTGATCAATTCAATAAATCATTTGCAAATGCCTACAGTACCTCAAACCCAAATTTAAACAGTTTGCAAATATATATTTCACCAAGTTTAACCTCGTTTGTTTTCCTAGAATTGAATGATTGTGAAGTACTTCACTTAATAAATTCTCTTTCTAATAAAAACTCCTTTGACTATGACGGTATTAATGTAAAATTAATTAAACTATTTGCTCTCAATAATATAAATTTTATAACTAATTTCATCAATACCTCAATCAAGTCATCCATATTTCCAACTTCTTTAAAAAGAGCAACCATAACTCCTATTTTTAAAACCGGCGATAAAAACTGCCTATCAAACTATAGACCAATTTCAATATTACCTGTTTTTTCCAAAATCATTGAAAAAGCTCTAGCTGATAAAATGTACAATTATTTAAAACATACAAATTTTTTCTCTGTTAATCAACATGGATTTATTAAAGGCAAAAGTACAGAAAAAGCTCTTTTGGAATTTTCAAAATTTATTCATAATAGTATTGCTGAAAATAAGATAACAGTAGCTATATTTCTTGATATATCAAAAGCTTTCGATAATGTCAATCACAATCTTTTAATTAAAAAATTAGAATTTGCTGGTTTCAGAGGAATTATGTTAAATTGGTTTGTTTCATATCTTTCAAACAGAGAACATAGAGTTAAAATCCGAAGTAATTTTAGTAATTATATTTTTTCAAACCGTGGTGTTCCTCAAGGATCTATTCTAGGACCCTTATTGTTTATTATATTCATCAATGACTTTTGTCAACTCAAACTTTTTGGTAAGATAATAACGTATGCTGATGATTCCGTAATTTTGTATTCTTGCACTGATTTAAATCAACTAATTTTTCAAATTCAATCTGATTTACGCATAATTTCAAAATGGTTTACAATAAATGACTTAAATTTAAATCTAAATAAAACTAAATATATTTATTTCAGTTTAAGAAAATCAGAATTTAACTTAAATTTAAAATTTCACTCTCTCTCCTGCAAAAGTACTAATGAAAATTGTCAATGCTATATTCTACAATCTGTAAATAATATCAAATATTTAGGACTATATATCGATTCTAATTTAAAATGGAAAACACATATTAACAATTTAGTTAAAAAATTGCGTTTCGTTTTAGTTAAATTTTATCACCTTAAGAATAAAATTCATTTTAATTTTGTGAAAGCACTCTATTACTCCTGGTTTTATTCTTTAATTAATTATGGTGCGATAATATATGGCGGTGAATATAAAACTAATTTACTTCCCTTAATCTCAGTTCAGAATAAATGCTTCAAGATTATTAATTCTCTAAATATAAATAATTCAAGTGTAACTACTACCAATATATATACAAGAATTAACCTATTACCATTTCGCCATAATGTATTTTTTCGTATTTTACTCTATTTACACAACAATAAATTAATATGCAAATTAAAAACTAATGTGTCTGAAAGGAGACCAACTGAAATGTATGAGATTCCCTTCTTTACAAAAGAAATTTCACGAAAACAGTTTTTTTACTTAGCACCTAAATTATATAATAAATTACCATTTCAGTTGCAAAACATCAAAATATATTCTTCTTTTAAGCGTGCTTTATTTCAATTTGTGATGAACATTGACGATTTAGATCTCTATTTTTCACTTTAAAGGAAGCATTTGATTTTTTATACCAGTCTTGTGCCAATCCAAATGAATTTCTTATGTTACCTTTGTTATTTTTTTTATTTATTTATTTATTTTTTTATATATATAGTTTCATGCATTTTTTTTTTTTTTTTTATTATTACAGTGTTCAACAATATATGATGTCTTATGATGAGCAAAATAATTTATGATTGTAATATCCCCCCCTTTTTTTCTTTATTTTTTTTTTTAAATTTCTAATTTAGATTTATTGTATTACTTTTCTTTGTCACCTGGACAGGATTTTCCTCTTGACGACGAATATATATTCTTTGTATTTATGTGTTTTTGTTCTCAATAAAGTTATATTTGTTTGAAAAAAAAAAAAAATACGTTAAAAAAATGAACATTAAATCAATAAATTCCAGTAAGAATCAGCTGTTTAAAGTTTATTTAACTGTATATCTTCTTAAACCATGAAATTAATTAACTTTGAGAATGATGTAAAAAATAACTAAAAGTGTTGGTATTTTGAGAAAAATGCATTTTCTTGAATAGTAACTCAAAAATACTTGATATTTATAGTTTTAAGTCACATAAAGAAATGGTCAGACGTTATTACCCGGTATAAAATATAAAACTTTATGAGGGCATAATAAAAAATCATATCAGAATGTATGAAAATGATCTGACCTACTTTGACAAATATTTATAAATCGTTCTTGTTGCTCGTGGAAGTAACATTGGCACACATACCACCCAATCATGATTAAGCACCCATTCCCATGTTAAAGAGCTTAATCTTTTAATTCGTACTATGAATGCCACCTAATTTTGATCCCTGTCAGATGATGTGGACAGCACATGAGCTGGTCCTCCTCTCTCTCTCTAAACTTTCACTCTCAGCCACAACAGATTTAAAACGCATCTTGCTGCTTACAGATGTCTGTTACACAGTCTGTTGCAGAGATGATCACTTTACTGAGACCACCAGAACAACATTAGCGAGTGAAATTTTATTTATAAAAAGTGTTTCTTCACGTCTATTTATAATATTAATTCATATTTTACATAACTTCCTGCGCTTGTAGAAACAAAACTTCGCTTATATAATGTGCAAATAAAAACAGAACAACTTTTAATCTATCTAAGGATCAGATTTTGGTTCTGGTACAACTGATTTGGAGCATTGACCAAAAATAGGCTAATTAATTAGTGCAAAGAATATTTTACATTATATCAGATTTTATATGATAAATGTGTTTTTTTTGTCACCTTTATAATATAGCATGTAGCCTCAATCTGAAAAAATCTGGCCGTAATATCAATAGAGCAACCTTTAAAGTTAATTTCCATTTTTGCCTACTTCACTTATAAGTGGAAGTATTTAAGAGAATAAAAAAAAATTATGAACATTATTAAAAAAAAGTTATTAATTTATAACATTTAATATTGGCCAAAAATGCTTTTTCTCGCTGTCAGACAGAATTCTAAGGTAAACAAATTTTTATTTTAATTTTAATTTATTTAATTTTAAATGAATAAATACAAAATTTAGGAACAATCGGTCGAATACTTTTTAGGTAGAATCAACTGAATACTTTCTAAATTTCAAAAAAGTCTTTTTTTTAATGCTAGTTTCTCAACGACTATTCTTCAGGATAAAATCTAGTCTTAAAGACTCGCACTACACTTACAAAGAATTCAAAAAATATTACATGGTTGCTAAGTGTTTCGCTTTAATTAAAATTTGTTATTATTTTTCACACTTTTGCTTCCGTTAACACTTCTGAATATGTAAGGCTAAGAAAAAGAGCCTTGGCAATAAATAAAATCTTATTAATAGCCAATACATGGATTCCTTAACTTTCCTTGGCTATAACTATTTCAACGTATACATGACACTTGCTTTTTTAATTTCCGGCTGGACGGAGGTGCCCTGTGGGCTTAGCCCTGCAGCCACAAACTCCAAGCTATTTTCAAAATTTTTTATATTTAATAATTCATATGTAGATAAAAATGAAGATTTCTCTTTACTTTTGATCTCCACGCATTTTAAAAATAAAATATTTTGATTATTTATTATAATTTGATTCTCTTTAAAAATATAAAAAATGGATAATAAGTACCTACAATGATTTATCAAAATTTTTCAACTAGTGTAAATAATTTTTTTTATTAATATTTCTAATGGCAATGCAATACAAAGAAATGATTAAAACAACAAATTCAGAGTAGAACAGATGACATAAAAGAAATTGACCACCGCTTTCTCTTGCACGCCAATGCAGTGCCGTCTCAGAGTCGCCATGGAGTGGTGAGCAACGGTGGAGGTGGTCTCTATTCATAAACTTTGCCAAATTAGATAGGGGGCAGTTTAGATGGTGAAAAATCTCAATGCGATGGAGATGTTCTCCTAAACAGTCAAAAGAAGGAATTTTGCACCAGTTTCTTGACGTGGAGAATCGGTAATGGCCATAAGATCACCAACTCTCCACCACTTTGACTGCAAACGGTCAAGTAGTTGAACTTTAAATTTTTTTTCATAATCTGTTTAATATGCAGCTTTATAGAATGGTATAATATTTTTGAATATCTTGACTGAAGCAGTCTTGCGCCCTTCTTCGCTGGGAAACCAGCCTGCTCGTGAAAATCATCATCGTCAGGATAAATGTTCGACTAATATTGCCTTTCCTCCAACTACATCAAACTAGCAGTAATCATCAACTTCTTCAGCATGTCAAAATAAACTCCACCATACCCTGATTATTTGATACTCGATTAAATGACACTTTAAACAGTGCCATTTAATCGAGTATGACTGATTTTCCAACACCTTTTTTGTTCGTGAGCAAGAATCATACTAGTATCAAAAATGCTAAGTAAATGGCCCAACTAGAGTGTTTTCATTACAGTTGTAGATTGCATTTTTCTACCCTATACTGCTTGCGTGATAATCTCGTCTATCCGTCTCTCACGAGATAACCCGTTTTCCGAATCTATAGTGTTGCATTGCAGTTGTGCTAGAAATGGACAATCTGAACGGTAGTACACTGATGCCCAAAAGTTAAACATACTTCAATACATATGTCTAGTGTAAAAGTTTGATTAAATTTTAGAGACCAGAATACTACAACCTACGCCGAAGCAGAAGATCTTAATTAAATGTGTTGAATGGCTGTAAAAACAAGATGAAATTGATGTTACCACATTATTATTGTTTAGACGAATACGAAATCTCGCTTCGAAAATACAACATTTAAACAAAAAACAAAATTGAATAACTGAATTTTTTCATGATACATACTATTACATCTCTATTCATGATTAAAAAAAATTATAAAATTGTTCTTTTTTGAAGCTTTATTTTGGTCACTACTTATTTTTTATCAATTTTACTCATAGTTTAATGTTTATACACTTCAAAAAAAGTCACCTGATTACCCAATAATTTCGATTTTTCGAGATACCCCTGGTCTCAACATTGTCTGATAATCAGAGTTCTACTGTATATGAATTAAAACTTATTCAGAGTGATTTATTTTTAACCTGTAAAGAAACTGAAATTGCAGAATACTTTGATGTTCAAAATTATGAATACAGATAGAACACAAATTTTTCTACAATATTGAATTTCAGGCTATGTAAGGCTAGTTTGTTTTCTATGATGCATTTTATTATGTTACAATAAGAAATAATATTTTAAAAGAGTTTTTATTTTTCTCAAAGAAAAATAGGTGCTCATCAAAGGAACTTATTTTCCTCAGTTCAAGTTTAAAATTACGTCAAGAAAATATGAAAGAATAAGGGCAGCTTAATAGAATATGTTATTAAATGACAAAAAAAAGTTTTGCATTTTTTCTTTTAAAAAAATAGCAATACAGAACGAATAATTAAAACAAGCAGATTTTTAATTTGCTGCATGTACTTCATTATTATGTAAATTTTGTATATATTTATTTAAAATAATAATTTGGATAAAAATATTTTTAATAATATTATACATAGAAAGCTTTCAAATTCTACTTAAAATTTATAAGCTGATATAAATTTTAAAAAGATCAAACATGATCTTCAAATGTATAGAAATATTTTTCACGCATAAAATTTTTTAGATACTAAATTTTTATTACAAAACTAAACAAAATACATACTTTTATGTTTGATTTATTGGTACTTACTTTTACTGATTTTTCTTACATGCTCACTGATTGCATAACTTCTCTCAAAAACCAACATGGAAATAATCACTTTTTTTTCCCTTCCATTTTTAGCGTGAGCTAAGAGGCATGTGGGAACTCTGCATTGGTGGTCTAATCTATATAATAGGTGTGATTTTCTTTAAATGTGATGGACGAATTCCATGTGCACATGCTATATGGCATTTATTTGTGAACATAGGAGCAACTTTTCACTTCTATGCTGTTTATAAATATCTAATCGTGGCAGACCAAAAAAGTTGAAAAATGGAGAATCATTGTTTCAAATGTTTGAACAAAAAGCATTCACTCTAGGAACAAAGTTGCTTGCCAGATAGTGATTTGCATGAAAATGTTTATTGTGATAGCAATTTTTTCAAATATAATGTCTTTTTAGAAGTACTTCATTGTGAATTCTTCAATGAAAATGTGATAGCTCAATATTTTTTCTTTAAATTGCAATTATTAAAGGATAAGATTTCATATATTAGAATTAAGGGATTTTAAACATAAAATAATATACATCAAATTTTTTAAAAAAAACTAAATGTAACAGAACAAATAAACATAAAATTGAGGAGAAAAAAAGAAGCTAAATATGGTATCTTATTGAGTGAAACTTTTGTGAGAAAATAACAATAACATTTTGTTTGGCAAATAACAATTTGGTTGACACACCGAACTTAAACTATATCCTTTTTCACGAAATCAATACCATTTTATTAGCTACAAAAGGCAGCAATATTCTTTCATAGAAATAAAAAATTCATTTCTTTATATTTTATTCCAAACTATTGAAATAGGAAATGAATTTTTTCTATTTCTCAGCTAGATGAAAGTCCTGCACAAATGCTGGGTGGATGGCATGAGAGATATTCTTATGAAGAATAATAATTATTAACTGTTAACCCTTATTAACTACCTAATAATGACCTAACTAAGTACACAATTAGGTGGGTAGCTATTGGGAGTTAATAAGAAACCATTAAAAAACATCATTATTTACAGTAGCAAGTTCAAATGGTTATGTCTTGGATACTGTATGCAAAATCAATGTGATTTTCAATGAATGTGATTTATTGTATTAGCACTCTTACATAAATGTGATCAGGACTCTTTCTTTTAATAAAAGATCAAGTCAAATTTCAGGGTAAATTTTTGCGCAAATTGACAATTATATTTGTTTTAAAGAGATTTAAATTATCTATTACTTTAATTTTTTTTAAAAAATTAAGTGAAATGTTCAAATACCCTTTTTTTGTTTGGTAAGTTGTTTACCTTTTAGAAATCGGTAGGAACAGTATTTGGTTCGACCAAATGCTAAAATAAATTACACAACATAGAATTGTTAAAAGAAGAGTTCAAAATATAATATTATTAACATTTCTCTGTTGTATAATTTATTAGATATATTATATATAAAAGTATTTTTATTTTTGTCTTGAAACACTAAATTTTTGAAAAAATTATTTTAATAATTTGGAGGGCTTTATAACAATTTCCAGTTATGAATTTAATCAGTGTTAGCATATGTCTGCAATTAAACTTAAGAAATTTCCACAAAACTTCCAAATTAACCTGGAAAAGTCCTGATTTCAGCACTACTTGTCTTTCAATTATTTTTTTTTTACACCATAAGTGTAAAATTAGAGGTAATTACGATACCTCAAATTTCTGCATGTCAAAATGTGTATTTATTTTAATTGGATGTATGATAAAAAAAATATAACAAAAACAGTTTTGTAAATTGGATTTCTTCCAAAGGCAGAAGTGTGCCAAATTGTCTAGTCACGGTGCTTTACTTCAAATTCTATGGGATTTAAAAATTTATCATAGAAGTATTTATTGCAAACGTCATAATATTAATGTATTGTGAATAGAGTATATTTATTAGAGAGATTTTAATTAGGTGTAACAGGGTTAGAATTTTCACAGCATTTATTGTAAAATAATCAAATTGCAAAAATTATTTCATACAAACTTGTATAGTATAGGAAAAATACATCCATTCACTGCCATAAACAAAATTGTAATTAAATTTTAATGTTATTTACTTATTCCAGAAGATTTTACAGATTTTGACAAATTGTTCATGTTTTTAATAATGCAATGCAAATATTACTTGTTATTTTTAGTAGGAAATACATTTGCAAATGATTCTTAGAATTTCTTTTTTTATCTTATACAATTTAATTTGATTGATAAAAGTCATTAGAAAAATGTTACTGAATAAATTTCATTTCTCATACAATATTTCAAAAATTACTGGAAAATAAGAAACACTACTTAAACATCTTAAATATACTAGGATTTTTTTTTTCAAAAGCAAAAAGTCAAATAAAATTGGCTAGTTAACATTTAGTTAAAATAAAGTTTAATAACTGTTCACTCACCATTAATGAAATTGTATGTTGTTGCTAAAATAAGTTATGATAAATATATTATGATAAAATAAGTTATGATAAGTTGCTAAAATAAGTATGAAGTCTAAGCATAAATTGAGTTAAACTGTGATAGATTGAGTACATTTATTTAAGAAATTTATATAACTATTGGCATCAACTTATAGCAAGATGTGTGATGATTTTATAGTACTGTTGTTTACTCTAGTACAACAAAAGCAAATAAAAGTACAAAAGTGAAAACAATTTGTTTACTCTTAACTAATTATGACTATTGTTTAAATGTTTTTGATAAATATTTGCTATGCGAATTCTTATTCATCTAAAGTTATATACAAAACTTTAAAGAAATAAAAACAAACGCAAAAAGCTAAATATGGTAGAACTGCAATTATACAAAATGTAGTCATCTAGATAGTGAAAAATCAGAATATATTGAGCAGTCATTGAATTAATATATATAGGTATTCTTTGGATAATTTCATCACATTAAAACCATGTCTTGTTTCAATCTCGATAATTAGAATTTGTTTATATTTTTAACTTTAAAATTATAAAATGTTAAGAGTAAATAAATATAAATTTAAGTTGTATATATTTGTAGAATGTGAGAAGTTTATGTATACTTATTTGTGATATTTTAAATGTGTGCTTTACATTCACATTCCCTAAAATAAAAAAATTGTTTAAAAACAATTGTTGTCGTTTCTGGGCCTTTCGAAGTAAAAAATGAAAAACACATTTGCATTAGAATGAATATAGTTCAAGAGCACAAGAGTTGAAATGAGTTGAATGGCGTAAAACTCTGATGACATTGCCCACTCAAAATGAGAAGATTAAACAGTGTTATAAACTAAGTTTGTCATAAAAAGCTAAAAGACTTCTAGGGAGCTTCAGGGTGGAAAAACATCTCCATTTAGGATATTTCTAGATCGCCATACATCTAGAATATTGTGATATTTTACTAAGAATAACTTGACTAGCAAAAAAAGAATTGTTAACAAACAAATAGTTTTATATTACTTTTTTAAAAATAATAATTTAAAATAAATCATTTACTTAAATGCTGAATATTACTAATATCAAAACACGCTCTAATTGATCATTTTAGATAAATTATTCTACAATGAAAATTAAAAATTTGCTTTAATGCAAAAAATTACAATAGAAAAACATTCTGATTGGTCATTTTAAGTCTACAATTAAATTTTAAACAAGTAATTTACTTAAATATAAAATATTACCACAATACAAAAACACTTTGTTTGGCCATTTAAGATAAATTATTCTGTAACTATAACAAAGTATATTAATTAATATTTAAAGTATATTAATCATATTAATTAGTATAAATTATTCTGTAATTATAACAAAGTATATTAATTAATATTTTTTGTGAGATATTTACAAACAAATAAAACAAATTTCGTAAAAATTACAGTAAATAATAATTTTAAAAATACTAACTTATTATTTCATAAATGGCTTTCAAGAGAAAAAATAATAAATAATAAAAATAATTGCAAATATTTAAAATTAAATAAACAGTACAGCTAAGCACATTTTTAATACCAACAAAATTTCATACCTATTAGTTTACAGTCCAGGAAAAAAACTTCACTGGCAATTTTAATTTATTTCCCATATTGTTTAAAATTATTAAATAGAATTACAGTTCTGTCTAGTAGTTTTTTGGATGCCTCAGTTTTTAATCCAATACAAAAATATAAGAGCTCCAATTCTAGAGCAGCTTTACTTTTATGATTTTTAAATTATATAATATTATTTCTAAGTAGCAGCACAGTCAATTATCTAAAGATTAACGATTTAGGTTTGCTAATTAAAGATTGCTGGATATGAGCATCCAGATAGCAGCATATTTCTAGGAATGTTCTTTGCAAATAACCAGCTGACATTTTTTAAAACATTATTTATCAGAAAATCACTTTGACTCTCTCATGCAGAATTTTTATTAAACCTATATTTCATACTTTTTATATCATTTTAGGCCAAAATAAGAGAAAAATATTATATTTAGCATTTTATTAATTTATTCTTATGAAACACGGCATGAAACAATGGTGCCTTTTTCTGCATAAAAAATACATAAAAAGGACACCAGTGTGGCACCGGCCTCAAAGGGTTATTGCCTTTAATACAATATGAAAAGCTCATTAAACATAAAATAGTGCATTGTTAAATCCCACAATGAATTCTTGAATTATTACCTGTTATCTATTACTTATTAGCACAAAACTCATTTAAATTTATCAACTTAAAATTACCAGGAAAATATTAGATTCTAGAAGGAAAATAACAGAATTAAAAACAAAGTGTTAGTTAAAAAGCTAATTTAATACCAAAATGTTTTTACAGGTACATTATCTTCTTTCAGACCACATTCTTCCATAATTTCTTGTTCAAACGTCAATAACCTTGGTTTATATGTAATTTCTTCAACATCTTTTGCCTTTGTGTCTTTTGGTTGCTCTAAAATAGGAAGCCACGAGTAAGGCAAAATTCTAAATGTTGTAGAACGAAAATAACTAAGCGTTAAAAAAGTTAAAATGAAACATTAAGTTTTTCTAAGGCTGCATTGTGGGTAAAAAATTTGCTTTTCAAAATTCCTTAGTCAAGGTTACTTTAAGGTTATTTCAAGGATGTTGCAAAAAAAGACTAAAAACTAAACCGCAATTAATTGTAAGGTTTTCTGGTGAATGAAAAATAACTTTTAAACAATTGCTAAGCTGTTTTGAATGAAAAGTTATTTAACTAATACTTTACACAAATTTATTACTTAAGAAATATAAACAGAATTGCAGAAATAAACATTTATGTAAAAATAAACAAATATTACTGGATTTCTGCTAAAAAAAAATTCCTTTCCAGTCATACAATTCTCTGCATAAGCTCCACTATTTTTCATTCCTTAGTGATAATAAAAGTTGTTCTTCAGTTAATTTGATTTTATACAATTTCTGTCTTTAAATTTAGCAAAAAAAGTTAATTAATTATATAAAAATAATTTATATTTTAAAATTTTTTAAAAAAACAACAAAATAGACAGCAATGTCAATATTTTGTTATTATTGCTCCTAAAAATTGGAATTATGAAAAGCAAGTAGCATAATAATTAAAAAAAAAACTTTAAAAAGAATTATTTCATTTTAATATGAAATAATAAAATTTGTTAAATGGAACAATACCAAATAATATGCTTATGTCGGCGATATGCTAATGCAGTATAAAAAAGAAAAATAATAAAACTTGGTAAAAACAATATAAAAATAACTGAAAAAATCCCCATTACAAATTTTAACCTTATTTTGAAGATGATAATGATAGATGATTTAATTTAACATGCAAAATTATTCACATAAGTTTCATTATTCTAATGGCAAAATTATTAAATATTTGGATATCAAAAAATGTCATATAAATAGTGGCATACCAGAATAATACTTTTTGTTCTTATAATCATAAGTTTCTTCAGCTTCATCTGGTATAGGTATAATTCTGCCAGTTCTTACAGAGACCCTCACTTCTTCTCCTTCATCAGTATAACGCCAAACAACTTTAGTGGGTTTGCTGATGGAAAGAATAAACATTATCAATAATCTTCATTTTTAAAAGAAGAGAAAGAAAATGTTTTCTTCTAAAAGTGAAATTAAAAAAAGTTTAAAATCTGATTTTACATTTTTTATCTTTCTTTTATAAAGTATTAAATTATGCTATTCTTAATAAATTCTGGAAGTATTCAGTTACGCTATTCTTAATAAATTCTGAAAGTATTCAGTTAGGCTATTTGTAATAAATTCTGAAAGTATTCAGTTAGGCTATTCTTAATAAATTCTGGAAGTATTCTATAATGCTATTCTTAACAAATTCTGAAAGAATTCAGTTATGCTATTTTAAATAAATTCTGAAAGTAGTCAGTTACGCTATTCTAAATAAATTCCGGAAGTATTCAGTTACACCATCCTTAATAAAATCAGGAAGTATTCTGTAACGATATTCTTAACAAATTCTGGAAGTATTCAGTTACGCTTTTCTTAAGAAATTCTGGATACAAAAACAAAAAAAAACATAACAAATTCAACAAAAATTAGAATTTTCAATACTAATGTTCAGTCTGTACTTTTATATGGAACTGAGACATGGCACTGAAATGAAAATAACATGAAAACACTTCAAGTACTTATTAACGTCTTGTGTATCAAGTGATTCCCTAAAATTTGTAAAGCAAAATTCGTCAGAAAAGCAAAACAGAGAAACCAATTGATCTGGGAATTAAAAAACATATATGAAAATGGATTGGTCATGTTCTACGTAAACCTGAAAAATTTAAAGTAAAACAGGTTTTTGATTGGAACCCTCAGGGCAATAGAAAAAGAGGAAGACCTAAAAATTCTTGGCACAGGACGTTGAAAACAATAAGACACAATGAGAGGCAAAATATCTGGCCACAATTAGATTGGCATGGAAAGCTATGATAGAGCCCTATGCTTCAATTCGGATTAAAAAAGAATATGAATGCATGTATTTATAAAGTATGAGTTCAAATCAAAATTAATACCAAAACAGTGAGTATATAAAAGATCTTAATTCAGAACAGAATTAAAAAGTTTATTTTAAGTCAGTTTTTTTTTTTTAATTCATCAAATCAATTAAGAAGTGTTGATCATAAAATATTCAAGCATCCAATTTCTGATTGAATAAAATCAGGAAGTATAAAAACTAATTTAACATATTAATATAAGCTACTACCATATATTAACAGCATCACTATAGTTTTTGTTTGGCAGGTAGATACTTTATTTATGTTGCACTAGAATTGCACAATGGGCTATTGGCCACGGTCTGGAAAACATCCCTGAAGATGATCCGAACACATGCCATCACAATTTTGATCCTCAGCAGAGGGAAGAGCTTCCCAGCTTTGGTAGTCCGACGACTTGCATGTGAAGGCAAGCACTTTACAGTAGAACAGTTTTACGAAGACCACAACTGAATACCCTCCTTTTCAATCCAAGTTGATCAAAGTGGTCACGCACCTGCTCATCGACCACAACCAGTGATGCTTGACTTCATTGTTCAAATGGCAACAGAGTCTTTACAATCACTGTGGAACAGTTTTTGTTTGGATCCAAAAGCTTTTTTAACAAACTTATAACGCATTTATAACAATAAAATGAGAAATATTACAATTAAATCTTTTAAATTATTTTATCTGTATATATTTTGGATATCAAAGTCTTACATCTAATAATATAGATTGTAGTATTTTGTTTTAAAAAAAGCAATATACACATCCATTTAATTTTTTCCAGGCCAGTTTTAACCATGGTTTTTTTACTCTGATATAAATTTGTCAACCCTGGAAAATTAAATGATCTTTTAAACCCATCAAGACAGTGATCACATATACACTGTTAGATAAATAAATGCTAAAAGGGCTTTTCTATTTTAATTAAATAACATAAAAATAAAAGGTATAAGGTTCGATCTTCGTCAGTCATCGAAGATAACGATCTCATGCACTCAACTTGCGTAGGTGATGTCATGGTCTGCAGGGGATCAGCCAGTTTCTTTTCATTTGCTGTTGGTCGTTCTTGCGTGGACGTCATCCGTTATCTGTTTAAAGAGTATTTAAGCTTATGTTGAAGCAGATTATTTTGTATTCATTCTTTTCGTTAGTCACTCTGTTTGTGACAGTTTGTCTACCAATGTTTTTAAATAAATTTATTGCTTTACAAACTTCGTTTTCTTATTTGTTTCATTGACAAACAAATATAATATTCTGCAACAATCTCGGATGACATACACGATCACGCAATTCTGCCTTTGTGGCATGCCAGGGTTCCCACTCTATGATGAGATTGAAATTCAAGGACTTTCCAGGACTTTTCAAGGACCTCAACAAAATTTTCAAGGACCTTAATCTAAGACCAATTTTAAAAATTATTCTCTTCTATTTTACTAGAAGCAACAATGCTTGTTGTGGCAATAATTAATTTCAAATATAATACCTAAATGCTTTGCCTATATAGAGAGAAGAGAGTATATGTATTATGGACTAAAATTTATATTTTTTTAAAAACAACCCTACTGGTTTTACATATTAATTCACAAAATCATTTTCAGCACAATCTATAACTAATGGTAATGAGGTGTTAATGGTGAAATCCTTTAATCC